ACACTTGAACTTAATTTATTCAATTTAGTTTACGCTAGGTATCATGGAAACTAGCGCCCGTAAGTAAACATTTCTATAAAACGTCACTTTTAATTATTGCTTAGTACCTAAACGTTGATGTTGTTTTAATAAACAACATCAACGTTAATTGGTAGAAGCTAATACTTCAATTAACAGATTATACATAAGAAAAATTACCAAAGTTATTCGTTTACAATTAGTTGAATCTTTTGTGAATAATGTCTGGAATTTAAACATTTGGTTTTGAATAAAATATCAAATCGTGGAATTACAACGTTCACTAAACATTAAGAAAGATTTCGAACACGGCGTCTACTTCGGAATGCTTTCGGACGCTATCAACTGCTCATAAAGTGTTAATTTACCACAACTATGCACGTTAATACAAAGACACTCATAACCTACCTGTACTTGATGTAACTCTTTTGCAAAAAACATCAAAGGTCAGCTGGATGCTAAAGCAGACTGTACTCCAGATACACGGAGACAATGACAACACATCCAGATCCGAAAACAGCTAATTGTGTTTTGCACAACAACTATTGTCATTATATATAACATTATTTTATATATAATGACAATAGTTGTTGTGTTGTTATATATAACAACTATTGTCGGGATCTGAACCTAAAGGACTGTAACGGAGCAGCCAGTTTTTTAATTACGTCACATGGTACGTAGTCAAATTTTCCATAAACGTCCTTTTAATATGAAATCCACGTCTTCATAAAACATTGAATGTATGCGGCCATAAAAGTTACCGAATAGGATGCTTACATAGTATAGTGCTTGCACTGCTGTGTTTCGGTCAGAAGAGTATAACGAGCCAGTATAATTAGATACAGGTTGTGAGGCATTCCACCATAGCCTTTCTTTGCTTAAAGTTGGCCGAAGGTGTCCATGGACTGCAGTAAACCAGTTACTATCAATTTGATTCTAAGTTCGTTTATAACTTCAATTTTATACAAAAAGTTCTAACTAATCAATAGGGGCTACTTCTTTACGTCATCCTATAAACATAAACTGCACTGGTCACTGGTTGCTGTGACCCATAGACATCGACATCTATCCTCGATTACGAATCAAAATGCAGATGCGTTGTCACCCGTGAGGACTAAGATGGAATGCCTTTTTTCCAGTAAAAAGGGTCTCCGGTTCTCTATACTCACCATATGAAACACAGCAGTGTAAAGCTGCTATCTGCAGCATGGTTCTACCACGTAAAAATTGCGTTGTTCATACCTTTACTACGTATTAAATAAACCATTAAATACCTGCATAAGTATATATTAAGTTTAGCAGCGTTCATGTAAATTGAACTTGAATGAAATGCATATATAATGCCATAAAACTCAACACTTATGCAAATTATTTCCGAAGCTAATTCAAGGGCTACTGAAATATGTTATTTGGAGGCTACTGACGCTTTTCTCCGGGTAATATAATAGACAACATAATATGATCGATAAAGATAATTAAAATCAAATTATGGTCATAATTTACATACACAGATTAATATCTTATTCAAAAAAAATCAAATATCGTGTCAGTCTGGTCGCGCTACATGTCCCATGATAGTGGGTGGCGCGAGACAGCACGGCCCGCGAATTCTCCTTAGCGGATTACTAATGCGGACACGCCGCAGAATAACCTAGCTCTTAAAATCTCCTCCATTCATAACCTCGCGCTTGCGTCCTCAAACCGGTAAAGGTTCCAGCTAAAAATACTTTTCATGCTAAATTATATTGTAGTCGAAACTTAAGTGTTGCGCAATCGTAGTTGACGTCATACATAACCTTAGTTTAATGTTCAGTGAGTCGTTAAATACTTATATTTTTATAAAGGTATATTATTTTACCGCAGCTATGTTTACAGCGCAACTACATAATTTATCATACAAGCAAATTATGTACTTAGTGTTTAATTAAAAAAAATTGCTTTATTTCACTGATAAACAACGAATTAAAAATTAATAACTACCTCGAAACATTAGTTTTAAAAGTACCCATTATAGATTTGGTAAATTCAGGTCATCAGCGCTCTACATTTTCAGTTTAACATAAAGATTTACACTTTAATCATAATCACAACGCTTTCGATATTAAGAGGAAATGCGGGTGTTCTTTTCTCCATACAAACGCTCTCGCCTGTTTTCATTCTGGTTTATGACCTTATAGCAATGAGTTTTTACAGTAAAATAAATATCAACCTCTTCTATGTTCCATGTTTTCTCTTTTAAGGATACATTATCTTTATAAGCACTAGAACCCTTAAAAAATGCTGAAAATTGCGTAACTTCCCTTAAGGCTTCTGTTGTCTAAACAGACCGCTGTCAACACAGATTTAGTGTTCAAATTTGATAACTAATACTGAAAAAGAAAAACATTGTATATCCTTCTTATTCAATTAATGAAATATCTTTTAAATTGGTCCAATATTGGAGGAGGAAATGGTAGAGAGCCAAACCTCGAATTATGCCTTTTTATTTAGGCTATTCAGTCGGATCTCGGACGCCGTGCGCTCGCAGAGCGACAGCGATAGTTTGTTCAAATACCTAATTTTCAAAAGTCTCTCGGCCTGCATTTTCTCTTAAATGTCTATTACAGTCTGACTTACTGACATATTTGATGGTTATCCACAATCTATCATAATCCGTGATCTTATTCGTTTCATATTCTCATGAATTAAATACTAGCAGGGCTACGTTTATGTCTGTCTAGAGCTCTAGAGGTACGTCTTTGTAGCTGTCACGATCTTAATTATTTCTGCCGCTAAACATCAGTGATTCCACTCTTGAATTTCGGTTTGAAAGTCCGTCTGTGAGGCATTCCATTTTTGTCTGGAGTGATAGCGCATCTTTTTACCTTTAAAATTGGTTGCATGTGTACATGAGCCACTTTCCTATTGATTGTGATTAGCTTGTATTTGTCACTCTGGATAAAATATTATAAAAAATGCCATTCAAATATTATAAAATAACCGTGGGGTGAGGTGAAGTTATAGATCCCTCCTGTCGAGATGTATGACAAACATGATTATTATTTTGCAACTTCTAAATTTAAATAAATAACTTCCAACATATAGCGCCATCTCGTGGAGAATAGCAACAAGACAAAATTGTGCGTAGCACTGAACTCGTTGAATTCTTTTCATTAAAGGGTTAAGTAAAAAAAAAAGTCTGCAAAATATTAATTAAATAAAAGAAACAAAGCGGATATTTACCAAACAAATATATCTACATAAATATAATATCATAATCTACAAAAAATAGTTTTATTAAATAAGTATAATTTAATTTAAAAATTCATTTATACGAAAAATATTATTTGTCCTAAAATTTCCTTCAAAACTTCTAAGCTCAGAAGCAAGGTGAAAATCGCGACATTTCGAATAAATCCTACCGCTATCAACCGTTTGTTTTGAGAATTAATCATTACTTGCGCTTACTTCGTTGGCAACTTTCGGGGATAAGTTCTGCCACGGTCTCCATTCTATAGAAATACTTTGTTTCTTGGATTCAACATAGAAAATAATTTTTAATCAGTACCAACAACTTTACAAATATTTTCTTATGGAAAGTTTGTTATTTTATTGATTAAAAACGAATTCCTATTGATATATAGGAATTCCTATTTATAAATGAAAATTATCACAATAATATTGCAAGATTATCTCTACATGGATAAAATGAAATGTTGATTCAAGCAAATACAACAGCGAGAACAATGTGAACGAAAGTGAGACAACGTTCACGTAACTTTTGCTAGCTTCGAAGTTTATAACGTGAAGTACTAAATCAAAAGCACCTATTTCCAAAGTTAGTTGTGAAGTAGTAGATGAATTATGAGTGCAAACTCTCAAGTTAACAAGCATCAGATAGCGGAGTGCGGGCGGATGAGGCGGGCCGTACACCGATAAAGCGACGATAACTGAAAGTGCGCAGCAAACAAATTTACCTAATTTGATTTAATGCGATAGTCTTTTAAATTCTTAAGCCCTCTTAGTTAAGAGTTAGTTAACTTACAACCAATTTAAAGTTCTACAGCTGTTACGCTAGAGAGAATTATGTTGCGATTAATTATTTTAGGGAGGCTAGCGAAATCCTTCCAAATAGATCGCTTACAAATAGAGCCTATGCCCAATAGTGGACTTTTACGAGCTAATGAAGAAAAAGAAATAAAGAATGGCAAAATTCAAAGACGAGTAGGCTTTAACTGTTCTTTGATATCAGAAAAAAAATCGATATTTATTGTTCTCAGATCAATAAAGAAGTACATTACATTTTTAATTTTTTTATACTTAATAACGGGTTGTTAAACGTTGACGTTTATTTCAGGGCATACAATGGAATAAAAAACCAATAAATAGCCTTAGAATTAAGTTTAATACTATGGTTTATGTCAACAGTAGGAAATTCTATTTTATATAAACACTCTATGTACCATTGAGTTATTATATACTATAAGTACATTATACTTCAATGCTGTGTACCCGGCATATCGGTGAATTTGGCGTAGGCGAGTTTACTTATATATTCGCATACTACAGTGAATAATTTATTTCTAGTATTTTTATTCTAGGACAAATGCCAAATAAATTACAAGTTTTCTACTCTAATTCTTCAAGTTGATTAGTTTCTGGTGACTTTATACTATCAACTTTTGGAACGAAGTTCCTTATTGCGATAATTACGGTACTGATTTGACGGATGGGGGCTAGGCGAGAAAAAGTGTAAGATTTTTCCGTCACGTCCCCCTTTCTTTAGTGCGAGCGAGATGGAATAATATCCATCTCTCTCGCACTTTTTATGATTTTAAATGACGCTTCATTTTCATAGACGCCGATAGTTAATTGATTTGTATTTGTTAATCATTAATATATTACGTTTATCAATAATAATATACTACGAAAGGAACTTCGTTCCAACCGAGTTTTCTACGACACTCACGCATGTTTTTTTTAATTTTATTTCTTTGCAGGTGAAGAAGCTCTAGAAGGCCTAGAGGGCTTGCACTCCGATGAAACGGGCTCGGGAGACAATTCAAACGCAGGCTCCAGTGGCGCGGACGACGACGCCGCGCGACTGCGGCTCAAACGAAAGCTGCAACGGAACCGCACTAGCTTCACTAATGAGCAGATCGACAGCCTAGAAAGAGGTGAGCAATGTAACTTAATTATTAACCTGAGAACAATAAAAGAAAGGTAGACGGAGCACTGCTTACATTGAAAGTGATGCTGGAAACAAACAAAAATCACACTCATCTTATTGTAAGAACACACATAATTTAAAATCACTTGCAAGCATATGTGAGTCCAGCAGTAGACGTTTACGGGTCGAATTGTTAAAGAAAGAAAGGAAGTACTTGTGTTCGTGCGGGCATGTAGTTCCAGAATAATTACAGGCGGTGATGTATTCCATCTTAGACTACTTCAGAGGCGACAACAGATGTGTAGCCACTTACTGTCAGGTGTCAAGTTTTTTTATCACTACAATTTAATAAATAAAATAGTTTCGGTGTCAATTGAAATCTACGCAGTACTCTTATATTTCTTGTTTGGTCTATGTTAATAAGATGGAGGACTTCACTGCGTAAAGTTTAATTTTAGAACCAGCTTACGTAGCTTAAAAATACTTTGGTGTTATACTACAGGTTTAATTTTTGCACGCAGCAAGTATTTGACATACCGATAATTATTCTGGGATCGGGTGTTTGTACATGAGCTGTTCATATTATATATGAAAATGGTAAAAAGCCTCTACAATACTAAAGAAATTTATGTATTTCATATTGTAAGTGACGAGAAATGGAGATCCTTTAACTGGTAACATGGTATTCTGTCGTAGTCCTGTGAGTCGACAACGCATCTGCATTATGATTATGAATCGAGGAAAAAATCAGGTGGAATTGTAGTTAAACGCTGGCTTAGATTAGTAAAAAAAATCTTAAATATTATTTCAATAATTTTGTTAATAAACGTTGTCAGAGTTCGAGCGAACCCACTACCCAGATGTCTTCGCTCGGGAACGACTCGCAGCTAAGATAGGTCTACCTGAAGCTCGGATACAAGTAAGTCTAACCACATTTTACCACAGTAGTAGGACTCTTTTAGTTGTTCTCTACCGACTTCAAAAAGGAGACGGTACTCAATTCGACTGTATGTTTTTTTTATGTGTTACCTCATAACTTTTTACTGGGTAGACCGATTTCGATGTTTCTTTTTTTATTTGAAAGCTGGTGCTTCACATGTGGTTCCATATAAATTTGATTAAGGTCTGACCAATAGTTTTTGACTTATTCTTAATAATTCATATTGATGCCGGTTGTACGAAATTTTTAATTTTTAATTATTTTTGAAGTTTTTCTAACTAGTAAATACCTTAATTATTTTAGATCATTATTTTAAATTTTATTAGGTAGTAGGACTTCTTTTCTGCCTATTCTTATGTCCACTAGCAGTGCTTGCGTTCCGTTTTGAAGGGTATAGAGAGCGAGTATAAATAATATCTGACCTAAAAATATTTTTTAACTTTTTTTTTACTAAATGTTGGTAGTACAGAAATTGGTCTAAAATTGTCGGGGTCTCATTTACTACCAGATTTAAATAAAGGTATGACTTTACGATGTTTCATTAAATCAGGAAACACACCAGATTCGACGCTTGTATTAAATATAATGGCTAGATAAAGTGCTATTGTATCTATCATAGATAAAATCACTTTTTTTAACAGTGGTAGAGCTAAGCGGTAGCTTTTGCTATCGCACGGATGGGCCAGCTCGAACCGGGGTGGTACCACGACCTCACAGAATACCAGCGTGAAGTAGAGGTTTACCTCTGAGTTGCGCTTGGTGAGTGCAGGTGGCCGGAGGCCCAATCCCCCCCCCCCCTCAACATGGTAGTGGAATTAAATAAAAGACTACCCCAGGAGGGTACCAGCACCCCTGGAGAATCCCTCGCTGAGCATCCACGACCAAACTACTTCACTCCTGAGCGTGGGTGCTCAGGCTACCCCGCGTATTCTGGGGGGGCAAAATTCCGCTCGCGACTAATGCTGCTCGGGGCAAGCGGAGCAATACAACCAAGGCGACCCCTGTCACGCTATCCGTGAATTTTTGCAACATCAGGGGACTTCATTCCAAACTTAACGCTGTCCATTACCATCTAGAGACGGCGAAGCCGGCCTCGCTCTTTTTAACCGAGACTCAGGTGTCCTCTCCGGCCGATACTTCATATCTCTCCTACCCGGGGTACAAATTGGAACACTCCTTTGTGCCCCGGGCTGGAGTTTGCGTATACGTCAGAGAGGACATCTGTTTTCGACGCCTCGGCAGTCTTGAAGGTACGGACCTGTCCACCCTATGGCTGCGCGTAGACAGCGGCGACCATCCCCGCATCTACGGGTGCCTCTATAGGTCCCATAGCGGTAATTCCGACGCAGACCGACTCATCGACCACGTCCAAATGGCTGCAGACTCCGTGCTACAACAGGTCCCATCCGCAGATATCGTGATGCTCGGTGATTTTAACGCCCACCACGCTGAATGGCTTGGTTCTCGTTTAACCGATCATGCGGGTAGATCTGTCTATGACTTTGCTTTGGCACATGGTCTAACACAACTGGTTACTTCGCCTACGCGGATCCCAGATGTGGAAGACCATGTATATTCCCTGTTGGACCTTCTGCTGACCTCTCATCCGGACGGATATCAGGTCTCCGTCGATGCCCCTCTGGGCTCTTCGGACCATTGTCTGATCCGGAGTACGGTGCCACTCACGCTCCAATCGCAGTTGCGATCTGCAGCTTGCCGCCGTGTTTGGCACTATAGGTCAGCTGATTGAGACGGGATGCGGTCTTTTTCTGCATCCTACCCTTGGGGGCGGGTTTGCTTCTCGCCGGAAGATCCCAGCGTTGTTGCCAATTCTGTTGCTGATGTGGTACTTCAGGGTATGGAACTTTTTATTCCATCCTCTGTGGTGCCCATCGTAGGCAGATCCCAGCCATGGTTTGGTCGCTCCTGTAAAATAGCATCACGCTATAAGCAGGAGTGCTACCGGGCCTGGGCTGACGCATCAACGTCTCGGGATGTAAACACCAGCGCACTTAAAAAGAAGTATAACTCCGCCTCCAGGTCCTTCAAAAGCGTCATTGCCAAGGCAGGGTCTGAGCACATCGGCAGAATTGGCGAGAAGCTAGTTCGCCTTCCTTCGGGAACCCGTGCATTCTGGTCTCTCGCCAAGGCTGTCCAAGGGAACTTCTGTCAGCCATCTCTTCCATCTCTGCACAGAGAGGACGACTCACTGGTCCATGCCGCAAAGGAGAAAGCCGATCTGTTGAGCTCTCTTTTTGCGTCCAACTCGACTCTAGATGACGGGGGGAACACACCGCCGACCATCCCGCGATGTGAGTGCTCCATGCCGGATGTGCGGTTTACACAGCGCTCGGTTCGCAAAGCACTCTTCTCCCTGGACGTCAGCAAGTCGAGTGGGCTCGATGGAGTCCCACCCATTGTGCTGAAGACGTGTGCTCCGGAGTTGGCACCGGTTTTAACGCGTCTTTTCCGGTACTCCTACTCCCAAGGCGTAGTCCCGAATTCATGGAAGACAGCTTTGATCCACCCGATCCCTAAAAAAGGCGACCGCTCAGACCCGTCTAACTACAGGCCTATTGCCATCACCTCCTTGTTCTCCAAAATAATGGAATCCATTATAAACTGCCAGCTCATACCTTGAGGATCACCAGCTGATTAGTGACCGCCGGTACGGTTTTCGTCGAGGTCGATCAGCTGGTGATCTTCCAGTCTATCTGACTCATAGATGGGCGGAGGCAGTAGGGTACATGGGGGAGGCATTGGCCGTTAGTTTGGACATAGCGAAGGCCTTCGATCGTATCTGGCACAAAGCGCTTCTTTCGAAGCTTCCTTCTTATGGGCTTCCCGAGAATTTGTGCAAATGGATCACCAGTTTCCTTGCTGATCGAAGCATCAAGGTCGTAGTAGACGGTGCATGCTCTGATTTCAAACCTATCAACGCTGGTGTTCCACAAGGCTGCGTGCGTGCTATCACCAACGCGGTTTCTCCTGCATATCAATGATATGTTGCTAACTGGTAGCATTCACTGCTATGCAGACGACCTCACTGGTGATGCCTTATTACTGGCCGTGCCAATATTTCTCGGGAAAACGTCGCTGAGTACCGGGACAAACTTGTGTCTGAAGTCGAGTCTAAATCTAGTACTAAATCTAGTCCAGTTCAATCCATAGAAGACACAAGTTTGCGCGTTTACCGCTAAAAAGAACCCCTTTGTCGTATCTCCTCAGTTGCAAGGCACTCCCCTTGCTGCCTCAGCTAGTATCAGAATCCTTGGCGTCGACATATCGAATAGTGTGCAGTTTCGTGGTCACTTGGAAGGGAAGGCCAAATAGGCCTCTAAAAAGCTTGGACGTTGCGCGTGCTCAGCAGAGCGAGACAGTATTTCATGCCGGCACATCGCTTGCAACTTTACAAAGCGCAAGTTCGGCCCCACATGGAATACTGTTCTCATCTCTGGGCCGGGGCACCGCAGTGCCAGCTCCTTCCACTTGACCGCATCCAGCGCAGAGCGGTTCGAATCGTCGACGACCGAGTTCTTTCTAATCGGCTCGATACACTGGCACTGCGTAGAGATTTTGCATCTCCTTGCGTATTTTATCGCATCTACCACGGCGAGTGCTCTGAGGAATTGTTCGGACTAATTCCAGCCGCTCAATTTCACCATCGCACATGGCGACAAAACTCGCGTTACCATCCATACCATCTGGATGATTGGCGGTCCACTACTGTGCGATTTAGAAGAAGTTTTCTCCCTCGCACAACTTCCTTGTTGAATCAATTACCACCAGCGAATTTTCCGGACCGATACGACTTAGGAACCTTCAAGAAAAGAGCTTACACCTTTCTAAAAAGCCGGCAACGCATCTGCAATTCCCCTGGCGTTGCGGTTGTTCATGGGCGGCGGTAGTCACTTACCATCAGGTGAGCCGCATGCTCGTTTGCCCCCTCTTCTATAAAAAAAAAACTTTAACGGAAATCTCCCATAAGTCTGCCGTTTTCTTAACATCAATAGTTTTAAAATATTTAAATGATATCTTTTGGCAATACTCTATGGAATTTAAACGTATTTGAACTAGCCTTTACATTTTGTTTAAGCAATGATTCGGCGACATTAGGAGAAAATTTTAATGATTTTGTTGTTAAAAAACAGCCTATAACAAAATGGATTTTGTTGTTACAGGCTGTGAGGCAGTCGAACTTTGTTCTTAGAAGTGACAATGCATCTGATAGGCTTTTGTTTGAAGTTAGTTGCAGGTTTTGATGGGCTGCAGTGGCCACTTACCATCAGGTGGACTGTCGGTTCGTTTGTCACTTCAGTTTTATTAAAAAAGTAACATAAATAGATATGAAAGTAAAGTTACAGCCTTTATACATTCCACTGCCTTTATACATTCTACTGTTGGGCACATGAGAGGAGACTCATTTCGGAGAAGGCTATGGACAGCAATTTGTCCGCTGCGCTGCTTCAGTGCGTGTTGGCGAACTTCTCATGTCATGCTCGTTTATTCGCGATTTTTGCCTTGACCGCCAATATAGTTTGTAAAAATTATGTTGCTTAAGCTGAAGTTCCGGCTGGGCGAAATATATGTCCAAGTACCACACATCAACCACATCAAATCTGATGTTGATTACAACAAGCTACACCATCTAGAGTTAAAGCTTGGAGGGGATCAGAGTCTGAAATTTCTCGCAACGTCATTTTTTCATCTCAATGAAAAATTTGAGTAAGGCGCAAAAATATCCAGTTTTGGGATGCCCCCCTAGTTGCGCGCCTAAATAACAATTAAATAACCTCAACCTGACGTAACAGTTATATCAAAAGTACAAGTAAGTAGGACCAATTGCAAGCCAATCCAAAAGTCGGTAATAAACAAAAGTGTAACAACCTACGTAGGTCCCACAGATAGGCATAGAACTCTTATATCTGAGAGTGTTTTAAGGTTGAGCAAACATCCGCCTAAAATAATTAAAAATTTTGCACAGCCGACTTCAATATAAGTTATTAAGAATAACTCAAAAACTATTGCTCTGACCTTGATCAAATTCATATTAGACCACTTGAGAACTACCAGCTTTCAAATAAAAAAAGAATCATCGAAATCGGTCCACCCAGTAAAAAGTTATGAGGTAACACACATAAAAAAAACATACAGTCGAATTCAGTACCGTCTCCTTTTTGAAAGTCGGCAGAAAATACATTTTTGATTTTGAAATACTTTTCTTAATTTCTCACACATGCAGGTTTTGTCCTGATTTTTTCCTTCATCATCAAGCATGTGATAAATCAACACTTTAAGCTGGAATTGCCAATTTCATTTGTGTCAGTGGAGATTGAATTCGCTTTACTCGTACTCGCATTTATGAAATAATTTTAACCGACTTCAAAAAGGAGGATATTATCAATTTGACTGAAACCATAAAAAAACTTACTACTTACTGTATGGTTTAGTGTACAGATTACACGATTAGTAAACAGATTGATAATTATTTATCGATAGAACATCGGTACTTCCAGAGCGTCTCCATATAAATTTCAACCAGATCTGATGATTTATCATCAGCCGAAATTTTACAAACCTTTGTGGTTTATGGATGCCATTTTACTTGTACTTTTGTATTCAACTTGTAAATGATAAATAAATTAAAAAATAATATTGAGTTAATGCTAAAATATGTTTATTAACTAATATAAAACTTGTGAGGACGACTGTGATTTGAATTCAAGACAACTGTAAAGTTATAAAACTTGTCACCATTGTAAAATCATAAACAATTCGAACCTGAGACCCTCCGTAGTAACTAGTAACTGGATTGCTCCGTAGCGCAGTGGCTTAGCAATGAGTTGCATCGCTGGGGGCCGCGGGTTCGAATCCCGCACGGAACAATTATTTGTATGGTCTACAAATAATTGTTTCGGGTCTGGATGTTTGTCCTTGTGCAATTTATGTTTGAAAACTGGCTCTACGATACAGGAGAAAATCCTAGTATGGGGGTAAAGTTTTCTAAAAAAATTGAAACATATAGAAAATAGTAACTACCATAAAATGCTATGCGTCGCGAAACTAGCGCGTAACTATCGCGCGCGTTGTTAACATTCGCCGACCTCAAGGTGTGGTTCTCGAATCGTCGCGCGAAGTGGCGGCGCGAGGAGAAGATCCGGTCACAGCGACGCAGTCCCGAGTGCGCGTTCGCCGCACAGACGCACGCGCCCACGCATCCGACGCACGCCACACATCCGACGCATCCGACGAATCCCACACATCCGACGCATCCCGCGCATCCGACGCAACCGCCGCACCCGACGTATCAGCCGCCTCTCAATGTTGATACTTACAGGTTTGTTATTTCTTAAGTAATAAAACATTTTTATTTTTACTATTGCGTTGTTTTTTTTTTTTTTCAGGTTGATTCTATCACTCATTCACTATATCAATTTCCCTCTGTCGTGCTCATGCGCGGCGCGGCGAGCGTACTACGCTATGCTTTTTGCCTGAGACACTTTTGTTTGTAATTCCAGTATTATATAAAACATGGTCTACAAATAAATATATTGGGTCCGAGTATGTCCATGTGAAATTTATGTTTGTACTTAGATCTGGTATCAGCGTCGCAACATTCCATATAGCACGTGCTGAGAGGTGGTTCTTATTGGTGCATTATTATTACTCATTCTAGCTTATTTATGGTCGGGGAAAAGGTTTCTTAGTATTTTATATACATATTCAAGACATTCTTTAGTCAAAGTTTCATTGCATTTAATTACAATATGTATATGCCATTTTGTTTGATAACTTGTTGCATTCTTGTTGGTAGTGACATAATATGTAATCCCGTTGCTGTAGAAATCTTGGTATTATTGATTAAAAAAAAACACCCTAATCCCTAACACTACCCAGAAAATACTGAAGAGACCGAAACAGATGAAAATCTGAGCGTGCAAAATCAGGACTATATGGTGGATGCATTAACACTTCCCAACCAAGCTCTCAATATTGCTAGGCGGCCGTTTTTTCTTAATGTCTTTCTTGAGTCTCATTAGTTGTTGGCAGTAAGATCCGAATCGATGGTTTTGCCCTGCGGTAAAAGCTCATAATAAACGATGCCCTTCCAATCCCACAATACATACAGCAGTCTTTGGAGCTTGACTACCCTTTGACCATGATATTTTTCGCACGTTCTTGTTGTAGGTGATCCACTTTTCATCACCAGTCATATTAGTCTTTTCAAAAATGGTTCAATTTATTTAGATTTCAATAGAGAATCGCAAATGAGTAGGTACACGATTCATGAGATTTCTTTCAGTAAGCTTATGTGGTACCCAAATATAGTTTTTGTACAGCCAGACTTTTTCAAATGGGTCAAGACTGCTTTGTAGTCAATACTCAATTCCACGGGTATGTCGTAACTACTAATATGACGATCTGGCTCCATTTTTTTTAAATATAGCATCAACTTTATCCGTATGAGGGCTGCGCCAGCTTAATGAGGGTTAATGTGGAAGGAGACGAACTTTTTCCTATAATACTTTTATTTTCTAACTCACAAGCTAACTTAACTACTGTGACAATGTGAGTTCACAGAAATACTGGGCAATCTTAACAATTAAACCTTGGTTTTTATACTATGTTGAATATTCTTAAGTCGCGTAAGTAAATTGAGTCACATCTTTAAAGACGTGCAGCTATTTGCTTAGCAGGCGGTGCTGTATGGTAGGTGGCTTCGTGACGGCATGCAAGGTCTCGGTAGGCATATGTAACTAGGGCGACCAGAGCGAGCTGTATCTTTGTCATCAAAATTCCCGAACTGAAAAGGGTTCCGATATATAAGTTGAAAATTATTAAAAATATTTTCATAATATAATGTAACTAAAAATTTATGCTTTTCGCATTTTTTCCTTTATTTGTGCTATAATTCGTGGCTTCGTACCAAATTTTAAGATTCTGAGTTCAAGGGAAGTATCCTGTAAGTTTTGATTCCCTTGCGAATGACGAAAATTTGCGGCATAAACGGCTGTATCTTTTGATTGCGTTGGCTTACAAGTTTGATTTTTTTACAGCTCCAAGGGACAGTAGACTTGAGTATTTAATATGAATTTCAGCTTGAACCTCCACGCGTTCCTGAGAAAAAGGGTCTTGACAGACAGACAGACAGACGGACAACAAAGTGATCCTATAAGTGTTTCGTTTTTTTCCTTTTGAGGTACGGAACCCTAAAGATGGTGGAAAAGTAATTTTTACTTTTTATTTCCCATTTTCTTAATATCCTAATGTCCTATATGTATTGATATTAAAACCAGTCAGATACAAACAGTACAAAGACATTTTTCTTCAATTTTATACAAACAAAATACGAAGAAACTTTTCCCCGAACTATTATTTAATTAATTCGTTTCTCCCCATTTACTATCTCGTCAATTACCGCAGCTGAATATATACCTCCCCATAGTTGCAGCAACCGCCTTTTTTAACTGACTTAAAGAATGAGGAGGTTCTCAATTCCAGTGTATGTTTTTTTTTGTATATATGTTACGCGATATCTTCGTAGATTGTGAACCAATTTATCTGATTCTTTTTTTATTAAATAGGCTATGCCTTAAGGGGAATTCAAAATTTAATGGGACCACCCCAAGGGAAGAAAATAGAAAGTGTTTACATTTTGAAGAAAAATTTCCACCCCAAGTTTAAGGAATTTTATATGATATCTACGCAGATTGAGAACCGATTTTAATGATTCTTCTTTTATTAAATAGGTTATACTTCAAGGATAAAACATTCAACAATTCCCTTAAGGATAGCATATAAATAATTTTTTTTAGCAATTTGAAGTCGGTTTTTACTTTTTGTTAAAAATAATAATTATTTTAATTTCTAGTTGTTATGACGGGGCTGTCCATTTCCTAATTTGATGCCCCTAGTCCCCTAGTTTAGATTTCTGTAAAAGTATAATTGTCAGTTTTAACCACACGCCTTTGTAAATGTGGAGTCTTATTCACTAAAACTGTTTTCGGCCTCGCTTCAGCCCCTTCACGCCGATGGGCTACGGAGGTGGGATATCGGAGGCGGCGCTGTGCGAGGGCGGCGAGGCGGAGCTGTGCAAAGGCGGCTTCGGCGGCTACCCGCGCTACGAGCTGGGCTACCGCGCGCCGCACGCCTACGTCAACCACAACTACCAGCACGAGCCCGCCTCGCCCACGCCAGGTAACTATCCACCTCGCCACACTCACGCTACCTCAGGCTAAATTTCTCCAGTATTTCCCACAATGTCCTTTCCCAACAAGAAACTAAATAAAAAAAATAAAATTTTTCTAATTATGAGAGTCTATCACGACATTAAATTTAAAGTCATTATAGATTCCATGATGGCTGCTTTGACGTCATCACCATACGGTAAGCAACGGCTTTGACCCACTTTTCACATCATACTTCAGACATCATTATCGTCATGAGCCCGTAAAATTCCACTGCTGGATATGGGCCGCTCCTATTATAAGGGAAGAAGAATTTCCATCAATTGTCTCCTTGTTCTACATCTGGCGTAACATCTATTGGAAGCCGTAAGACTACTCTGATAGCTACCTCTGGCGACACCCGCGAGACAAAATGGAGTGAAGGACTCTCTTACGCCATCACAACATGGCAACCCCTCTTCCCCGAACACTCCTACTTCTTCTGTTTTTGTATAGGATAAGGGTGACAAACGAGCACACAGTCTACCCGATGGCAAGTGTTTGCTGTGGCCCATAGACATTTACATCTATCCTCGATTACGAATCAAAATGCAAATGCCTCCTTTCCAGTAAAAAGGGGTCTCCGGTTCTCTACGCTCACCACACGAAACACAGCAGCGTTGAGCTACTATTTTACGCTGGTATTCTGTGATATTTAATCATAAAAAAACTCTTCCCACAGAACTGGGCGGTCTTTTAGGGGCAGGCGTGTCCGTACCTTTAGCCGTGCCTGGGCATGACGCACAGTACTGGTCGCGCCTGCAGTGACCTTGGTGGCACTAGCCACAGTCTCAATAGCGCACTATACATCGCACACCTCAATGCTGCACTTGATCACTGAGCAACTTGTCGTCATCCGGATTGCATGCCTTGGGCTACAAAGTGTCCACTGAATCGTTCAATTACTCTTCCGGGTATTAAGCTGTCTTACATTAAAATAGGACCAACACTATTAGTTGGATTAGATTAATATATTCATGTAAAGTGATAATTAAGGGAAATATTAAAGGTTTTTGTTTCCATACAAAACTACAATCATGTTAAAAACAAAATCTACGCTTATTTTTTTTTGTCTTGCTACAATAGTTTTATTTTTTATTTACATAAATACCTCAGAAATAAATTTTCAAAGTGTTGTTCATCATTTATATATTATTGTGTGTAAATAATGTTTTCCAAGATTTTATGTAAGGCAATTTAGGTTACTTTCAAAATGAGTATCGTAGGCAAACAATTTGATTGTATTTCCTATTGTAATATTATTTAACGCATATTTGTCTAACACTGCATAGTATTAAGAAATAACATATCCACACAAAGAGCAAACAGAGCACAAAGTCCAGGCTCAAATTATATTTAATGTAAATTAAACTATTTCATTCAATTTTTTCTCTATCGAGCCGAATGAGCAATTTTTTTCAAGCCTCATTTAATTCAATCAAATCTGTATTTATGTTTCCCTGCGTATGGGAATTTACAGTACGTGTGCATAATTTTGAATGAAATAATTTAATAATTAACATAGGTGTTATTTTAAATTTGTTTAAAATAAAAAAATAGTTTGGTAACTAGTATAGTTAATTTTAAAATAAATAATTCGTACTGTATATGTTACAAATGTATATAAGACCGCTACTTAGATACGACACATCAAAATACAAAATGAACTACTCGTAGTAGAAGTAGCTGATTTTACACAAACAAACACGGCTGCTATAATTTGGTTAATAAACACAACACAATCACAAAATTTTATATTAAAATAAACAGAATAAAATACGCATTTTACGATATAATTTTACTAGTAACTTGTATTTAATTTTTTCATTGTTATAACACCTCTGCAATCATCAGCAAGCATCAAGCTGTTGATAACGAAGGCTGATGATGATGTGTAGTCTTATTAATTTAGTATAATTTTATTATTAGCAGCCAAAAATAGCGTTTTATTACCACAATTATTATTGTAAGCTTAATGTGCAATCGTCTTGTATGTGTGTTTATCCAAAAAGTTATAGCATATTTATACATACCACAGCTGCGCAAAGGACTCCTCTCATTTCTAAAAGACTATGTATATCCATAATGAAATTTACTCCTTGCTCTTTTTACCTATCGCTATTGAAAAGTAAATGTACTTATATGTCGAAATGCTGTGAAACGAGCTCATTTTTCTCAATTTGTTTCTAAAATTATTGCGCGTATAGTTAAAAATATACAATAGTGATATTACAATAATGACATATTTAATAATGATGCTTTGCTGTATGAAATGTGTAAGGTTATACCTTATGCACAACTAATTGCAGTTATCGTTTCTTGTGATAAACATGGTTACGAAATTGAAAAAAAAACAGTGAACTACTTGTTCAACAAAAATTTTTCATCTGTTATAAATATTATTTTATTCTTCAAATCAATTAATTTTTTGTAGGTACTCAATATTATAAATCGGCGTTATAGAATGTATGTGTGTATATTTATGTGTTAACCACACCTAGTGTTGGTTGATTTTCCGAAAATTTTCGAATTGTGCGAAATAAAAAATAAAAGAATCTAGAAAATTATTTTGAAACATAAAGTCGCACTTAACTATCGACGAGCAATTCCAAAATTATATTGTGGCGTGACAGGTGACGGAACAACCATATCGTATATGCGAGTATCATGGGATACAACGTCAAAGGATATCTAGTAGGTACTGCAATCGGCAAGCCGCTTGCCCAGGGTAATGATTAGATATAGCAAATCGCTTCTACTATATGAGAGGCCAACATATGATAATGTGGGTGTTATTTCATCATCAGTCCAGATAATAAACACATAGCACCAGTAAAACCTACTATTGGATCATGAGCATAGCTGCACAGCTAACATTTTTTTCTGGGGTGGGTCCAAAGGGACATAGTACCTACTTTGTTGTGTAGTGTACTGTATTTGAATTTTTTCATTTGCGAAGTTAAAAGCACTAACATCTCACTTGATTTGATCCTAGTTACGACAGAGTAGTGCATGGATCTCTCTGAGGGATATAAGAAAGAAGTGTTTTTTATATTTCTGCGGTCTCTCTTTTTGTATTCCTATATTTACCATAATCGCTACGCTTGGTAGGCGTAGGTATTGAGGGTCGCAGTACCAAAAGTCTCGCACCTTTGACGCTTTATTGACGCCACTATCCATCACCACGGTCCACACCACAAAATGACTATACAGCGGTTCTATGTACTGTGTGGTACAGAGTACTGTCACAGTCTAACTACTAGTACTGTGTAGATACTATACTATAATATTATATGTATTATGTACATATTTTGTGTTCAATTATTTTCACGATAAATAAATGTTTGTCGTATTAATTATGAAAATCACCACCGTCAAATGTTTCAATTAAATAGGATATTAATTTCGAATTTATTAATATTAGACGTAAACTGTATAAATAGATACGTAATACCATAATTATATGTGAATAATTGTGTGATGTCGAAAAACGTTGTAATAAATTACATTATAACATAACACATTTTTGGATCAAAATGTTGCTTTTGTTTTATTCATACTCATACCATGAGTATGTATAAAGTAACAAAATGTTACTTTATACATACTCATACCATTTTCGATTTGCCAGGGTTACACCCTGGCAAATCGAAAATGGTATAGTTTAGCAACTGTATAAAAGTATAGAGGTTTGCAGTTGTGCGCACATCACGGAAAACCTACTGGATAGATTACAATTAGATTTTCTAAGTTTTGTTTCTTAGACACTGCCCTTATCTAAAAAAATATTGCGATATCTTCATTCAATATAAAGTTATTAAAGTTTTAAGAAACAACGATTTTTATAAGCACTACGTGTTCAGTGATTTTTTTTTAATTTATTTATTCAAAGAAACTTACAGCTTTTATATCACATTTGAATGTAAGATGAATGTTAACAATACATTAGCCAAAACAGTTTCCAACGTTAAGATTTACATTGCGAAAACTTTAAACATAATTAAATGAAGTACATATTTGAGTTTTAAGATTTTTGAAGGATATACTTAGTGCATGCCTAATAGCAATATTAGTAAAGGTAATTTTATACGAGGGCTGCACTAAAAGTATCGGGTATAGAATATTTCCACTGTTCCTGTCATATTAAAATCTTTTTAATTGAAAACTCCTTGTTTTTAAAAAAGATTCCACGCAGGATCCTCAAATGCTATATACTATACTATATATATACAACATCGTATCAGGTGACGAATCCTGGATATACGCGTACGAACCCGAAACAAAAAACCAGTCACGAGTTTGGGTGTTCGAAAATGAGTTAAAGCCAACAAAAATTGTTCGTTCACGGAGTGTTGCAAAAAAATTGGTGGCCACGTTTGTCTCCAAAACCGGCCATGTTACGACTATTCCTCTTGAGGGACAAAGAACGGTTAATGTAGACGGTTAAAATAGTTAATGCAGAATGGTATGCTAGCATTTGTTTGCCACAGGTCGTTTCTAAACTCCGTAAAGAGAACTGCAACTGCCGCATCATCCTCCATCACGACAATGCGAGTTCTCACACCGCACACAGAACAAAAGAGTTTTTAGAGCAAGAAAACATAGAATTATGACCATCCGCCGTACAGCCCCGACCTAAGCCCTAATGATTTCTATACTTTCCCAAAAATAAAGAATAAATTGCGTGGACAGAGATTTTCATCACCTGAAGAAGCTGTGGACGCCTACAAAACGGCCACTTTGGAGACTCCAACTTCCGAATGGAATGGTTGCTTCAATGATTGGTTCCATCGTATAGAAAAATGTGTCAAATTTCGCGGAGAATACTTCGAAAAGCAATAAATACATTTTTAAATAGTAATGTTGTGTCACTTCCTTGATTCCCGAAATTTTCAGTGCCGCCCTCGTAATTAGATAGGGGACAAGAAGTACACACACCACCTAAGCATGATCAACTTGCTTAATAGATGTAATATACTTAACCGTTTAGTTTGCAGTTAAATATGTCAATATGGTTATAACGCTCATTGTGTGTGTTGCAAGCATGATGTGTGGTTTCTTTCCGCGGAGAAGTAGGGCAAGCGGTTTATCGCGCATGCGTATGAGAGGGGAAGTCTTTTCTTTTTGTACCTCTGCCTCATGATAAAGTTAGGGCCAGCCGCGCATTCAGTGTGACCATATGTGGCAGGTTCCTGTCATTTTGGCAGGATTGGCCTCTTATCTTCTGGCATGATCGTTTGACGTTTTATAAAACCTGGCAGTATCGGAGTATTAAAAATAGATTTCATTATGGGAACTTAAAATGCCAAAAATGTGGGGATTTCCCTGTACTTCTCGTATTATTTTTGTATCACATTCCATAAACAACTTTAAAAGTTTGTGTGTAACACTCGTTTTAAAATTATCAACTGATAATTTTAAAACGAGTATTTATAAACACGAGTTTATGGTTAATATTTCAATCAGTCATAGAAGAGACGTGCTTTGGTTTGGTATCGCATTAGATTTCATGGTGACATATCTTGCTAGCGATATCTTGTTAATAATATTTCGTGGACGATAGTAATTATAGGTGGAGGTGATGAAGCGAAAATATGAAAGGGCATATAGAGCGGAGTGGGAGCAAGATCCTTTACTTTTATCGTCGATCTCCAAAGCTAAAGATGATCCAGACTGTGTAACTGCAAATTGACATCCCGCTGTCCGCTTTAAAGGAGCATGCTGCCACAGAGTAAAGAGTAAGCACCAGAGGGGAAGCTTCTTAACAA